CCCCTCATGCAGATCGGTGGGGTCAGGGTCCAAAAGCACAAGGGATTTGCCACATTTCTGACATTCGGTGGCATCTCTCACGCAGATCGGCGGGGTCAGGGTCCACAAACACATGGGAGTTGCTACATTTCTGACATGCGTGGCACCCCTCACGCAGATCGTCAGGGTCACGACGTCTTATCAATCGCCATGCGTGGTAACCCCTCTGGTCATCTATTGGTTTTGCTCATTACGAGTCGGCCTCGCATGAAGTTCCCATACTGCTTCACGACAGCGCCCAGGCCTCATGACATAGCTCTTGCATAGCGCATTATCCGAGAGAGGGGGCCGGCGGCAGGGGGCGAAGCCCTTACGGATTATAGATAGATAGATAGATAGATAGATAGATAGAGAGAGATAGAAAGAGAGAGAGAGAGAGACAGAGAGAATACGGGAGAGAGCGATGGGGGAACGCAGCGCTTCCAGACTGAAGGGCTCCAAACGCGGCGCGTCAAGGTATCCGACATGGTGAACGCCCGGAGGCGACGAGGCGCGTCGCGAGCGCTTCAGGAGCCCCAAAAAGCCCGGGTCGCATCCCCGGCAGACGCAGGGTGCCCTGCATCACGAGCGTGGGGGAGAGGACAGGCGGCAGGGACGTGGAGCACGGAGGGGTGGGGGCCAACGGGGGGGGGAGGAGGGCCGATGGAGCACCGACGACGGGCCGTGGCGCGGTGCGCGGCAGGAAGGAGGTAGAGGGGGGGGAGAGGGGGGAGGGACAAGCTAGGTGCGCTAGCGTCACATCTAACGGCCTACCCCTCCTTCCCATCCATTACCATGGCGTAGATCTCCTGTCTATTCGCACAGTCGGATGTCGAGCAGGGAGTGGTCCCAAATGAGGGTACGCGATGGATGGAAAAGCATGGCGTAGAAGAGCACGGCAGAGCATAGCATGTCACAGCATGGCTTTGCATTGCGTAGTGAAGCATTTCATCACAAGGCATAGCAACGCACAGCAGGGCACCAGATGACTTGGAGGGCAAGTGGCCCGTCTACGAGAGGACAAGCCCTGTCTGGAATGCCAGCTCCATGTCCTCCGCAACCCTGCCTAGGCAATGTGGGCACATTCGAATGCCAAGTGCCGTCCGGAGGCGCGGTAACGAGGCCAACACTGCAGCGGGAGCACGATTTTGAATGACCGGTAGGGGAGGGAGACAGAGAAGGACGGAGGGGGGAGGGGGCAGGCGACCAGGACCACGTCCTAGCCACACACACCCCGCACCCTTCAGACGCACCACCGAGCGGCGACTTCCCTGCGTCTATCTTGATGCTGCTTCTCTCGCATCTGCGTCATCTCTGCGCAGTCCCTGTCGTTGAGTCCTTCGTAGCAGAACCTCAAGGACCTTCAACGCGCTGAATCCCAAAATCCCAGGGTTAAACAAAAATCGCACACGTCTTGAAATTGTCTTGTTTTGAGCTGAAAAACAATAAATTGAATGAACAAAAACAAAAAAATCGCCCCCCACACCCCCACCCCACCCCAAAAAATGCACACACAAAGTTGATGTATGTACATGTGTTTATATATATATATATAGAGAGAGATACACGTGTAAGGAGGCGAGGAAAAAAAAAGAACAAAGAAACTCATAGTTTGCTAGATCCTTGGTTTTTGAAGTCCTGGGCCCAAGTGAATCCCAGGAACCAGGGATCCAGCAAAGTGGCCCCTTACTTTGCCTGGCCCCTGGATTTTGACATCCTGGGCCAAAGTGAATCACAGGACCAAGGGATCAAGCAAAATAGCAACAAAAAACGCTTCAAATGTTCATTACAAGTTTTGCAAGTTTGCCTGGTACCTGGATTTTCAGATCCTGGGTTCAAGGGAATCACAGAAACCAGGGATCAGGCAAAATAGCAAAAACCCTTTGAACTTTAACAACGTTCGAAAGTTTGCTATTGTACCTGATCCTTGGAATTTGAATTCCTGGGCTCCACCGAGGCAAAGGAACCGGGTATCAGCCCAAACATGTATGTGTTTTTACAGAAATCCCACCAGCCCTCTGGGCGCAGGTGGTCGAACGATGTCTTGTTTTTCCTCGTCCAAAAAACCCCTCTTCACATTCGGGGAATTGTTGATCACTGTTCCCTATTACTATACACCTCCTTCCCCAGGCGACTGGGAGCCAACCCAGGTCCATGCGGGCATCCCCCACCATCCCTGGTAAAAAAACAATACAAACACACACTCTGCCCCCACCATCCCTTGTAAAAACATTACAAGACACACTCTGTCTCCAAATTCGAAACATGCGCAGCGAACCCGGTGCGGTCTCCCCCCACCATCCCTTTCAAAAAACAATAGCGGCGGCTGCGGCGGCTGCGGCGGTGGCGGCGGCGGGGGCGGCGGCGGCGGCGGCGGCGGCAGCGGTGGCGGCAGCGACTGCGGCGGCAGCGGCTGCGGCGGCGGCGATTTGGCAGCGGGGGCGGCGGCGGCGGCGGAGGCGGATTCGCCCCAAGAAGCTGCCCATCCAAAGACGACTGCTGTATATGCTGCGGCTCGGGTCAGGCTCGGGTGCTACGTATGTGTTGGGAGGGCGGGTGGGAGTGAGCGAGACGGCTTGCGGGCGCGGAGGGCGTCTTGACCCCTCCCCCTACCCCTTCCCCTGAACCTGGACGGGAAGGGCCGCGATCGGTTGGAACGTCCAAGATGGCCTCAAGATGGCTCCAAGAGGGACTCAGAGAGCCCAAGATGGCATCCAAAATCGTCAAGATAGCCCACCATGGCTCAAGATAGCTAACAACTTGCCTCCAAGGGGCCCCAAGATGACCACAAGACGGTTCCAGGTGTTCTCGGAAACCCCTCAAACCCCTCAAAGATCCCAAAATCGCTCAAAAACATTAGGGAAATGAATTGTCTTCTCGCCGTTTCGCTTCCGACGCGTTTCTGAAGCCTCAAGATGGCCCCAAGATGGCCCAAGAAGGCCCCAAGAGGGGTCCGAGAGGGCCCCCAAGACGGCCCCAAGAGCGCTCACGAGCGCCCGAAAGGGTTTCACTGATTCCCATGATCAACGTACCAGAAACTGTTTTTTGAAAGGATTCCAGATTGTGAGGGCGCAGCAGTTACGTTGATTCGCGGGGTTGAAGTCCCAAGAACGGCTTTCTGGTACGATTCAGTCAGGATCGTCAAGGTGCAACAGTCAGGTTGATCCGTGGCGTTGAAATCCTGGGAACGACGTTTTGCCATTCATCAGGGTCTTCAAACGGTTGTCTTCCAACGAAGCAGTTCCCTCAGTGGAAATGAACCCTTGTAGGGGCCTACGAAGAGGGAGCTTGGAGGGAGGCTTTACTCCAACATCGCTGATGACTCTTGGGTTTACACTGGTTTTCCTCCTCCTCCACCTCCTCCTCCTCATCACCACCACCACCACCATCATCATCAGCATCATCATCCTCATCGTCGTCATCGTCATCATCATCAGCATCATCATTCTCCGCCTCCTCCTCCTCCTCCTCCTCATCCTCATCCTACTCCTCCTCTTTCTCCTCCTCCTCCCACCGAGGGACGCTGGTGGAAAGTCGGCGCATCAGGACTGACGGCATCCCGGGGCCACGGGCGAAGCTCCTGGGTGGGCGGACGCTGGCGGCCTCGCCTCGGCTCGTGGCGAGAGGAGCAGCAGCACTGTGGGGCGGGTCAGTCGAGAGGACTGCTGCACAAGTCTTGCAATCGTCGGGAAGGCGCTTCGGCGGGGGGGGGGAGGCGGGGGTCCCAGCAACCCAGACGGCGCATCCCCGCCCTCGTCATTGCCCACGCACCAACGCTCCCTCCCGCGAGGGGACACTGCTCTCCATACATCCGAAAGCGTGTCGCCAAAGTGGAACGTACCCCTGGCGCGGCGTGCAGGCGAGAGGAACTCGCCGGCTGCTGCAGAAAGAGGTTGTTCCGAGCGAGTGGGCCGAGGGGAGCCAGCCTCGTCCAGGTCACCCAATTTCGCGCATCGTGCCCCGCACTGCGCGGTGCGCGGCTCATCTTCGCGCCGCCACCTTGGAGAAGGGCGCGTCTCCACCCCGAGCCGCGAAGCGCAAAGCGCGAAGCGCGATTGACGTCTCGCCCCAGGGGATGACCTAGATCATGAAGGGGGCGCGGCAGAAGAAGCAGAAGAAGAAGAAGAAGACGCCGTGTGGTCATCGGGCCCGTGAGCAATCAGGGCGTGGTGAAGGGCGGCGGGTGCTCCGCTTCACCTCGCCTGCCTGTGGCCATGCCAAGGGGAGGGACGCGGTGGCAGCCGACCGATCGGCAGCCCCCGCAACCGCACGCTGGGCGATAGACATCGTCGGGCCAGACGGCTTCGTCGACGGACCGGGCCAAAGCAGCCGTCCTGCGACACGTTTGAAGATCATCTCGTCAGCTTCACCGTTGCGCCCTGAGCCTGCTGGTGTCGGAGATGCTCCAGAGGGCTCTGCGAGGCCACAGGCGGAAGCCAGGTTGACTTTTTAGCGCCGGCTGCCATCAGGCCAGCGGTTTCGCCGACCGCCCAGGCCGAAGCCCCCGCCGATTCACGTCGCGCAGAGGGGTGCGACGCTGGGGCACGGGAAGAATGCGGCACGTCCGCCCGAGGCCCGCCGCACGCCGGGCGAGGACAGATGCCGCTTGAACCTGTGCGACAGCGGACGGGAAACGAGGGAGGAAGGACGGACGGTAAGGGAGGAGGGAAAAGGGAGAAGGGAGAGAGGGAGGGAGGGAGGGAGGAGGGAGGGAGGGAGGGAGGGGAGGGCGAGAGAGGCGGGAGGAGAGGGAAAGGAGGAGAGGAGCGCGGAAGGAGAAAGGGAACAGGAGATAGGATGGGATGGATTGGGAGAACAGAGGGGGGGCAGATGAGGATGGAGAGGCTCGAAGAGGAGAGGGAGGGAACAGAAGAGAGCAGGGGAAGGCAGAGAGGCAGCCGCCGAGGTGCGAGAGCGCGGAGGCGGGAGGGCACATCTGCGCTGGGGTCCATCCCCTGCGGCCTGCGGGGCGCCAGGGCCGGTGGATGGCGACGCCGCGAGGAGCATCGTGGTGGAGTAGGGCAGAAGAGGGAGCAGGAGCAAAAGTCGCAGAGGGAAAGATAAGACAAAGCCAAAACGAGGACAAAATCGGGTGAGGAAAAATCGAGAATATCTGAGATCCGGCGGGTCTGGAAGACGTCTCGGGCACCACGGCCTTCTCAGAGCGATCCTGAACGCTCTGAGAGCGTTCCGGAACTCTTTGAAACGGATTTATCCTCGTCCTAGCCCCGTCCGAAAAGAGGAGAACGAGGAGGAGGAGTAGGAGAAAGAAATTGAATCAGGAGCAACATGAAACCAGAGACAGTAAAGCACACACAACTCATGACGCAATCAGTGCTGTTTGGTCGCAGCGCCAGCGGCGCTTGGCGCGGGTGAGGTCTACGTTGGGGCCGGGAGCAGAAAAGGGCGGCCGCGGAGGAGGGAAAGAGAGAAAAAACGCAATACATACTCATCATTTCCCGAAGTCCAGGATCATGGAAAGTTGCTCACAAACCAAAACTGCGCTTAAAGAGTCCTCTCTCAGTGTAAGAATCTGGCCCTGTCTCGCGCCTCTGCTCCAGTGGGCGCGTGGCCGCTCATGGCTTGGCCCCCCCGTGACTCGACTGCCCGTGGCTTGGCCCCACTGCAGGTGTGTGGCCCCAATGGCCTAGCCCTGGAAATACCTCTGTGGCGCACTTTTTCCCATGGGTGCGTGACACCCTTGGGTCAGGCCTCCAATGGCGTGGCCCCAATTGGCGTGTGGTCCCTATGACTTGGCCTCATACGGTTAACACACAGACGGCTCCACCCACAAATTGCCACACACCTACCAGACTCCCCGCTCACATAGAGTTCACATCATATAGGACTCCACACACACAAACACTCAAAGGCATCCACCCATACACAGGAAGAATTCCACTGACATAGGGTCCCGTGCGTACGGCTTCATACACATGGGTTCCACACGATGGGTTCCACACATGAAGGGTTCAACACGCCTTGAGTTCCCCACTACACATATGGTTCCACAGCGTTCAAATAACATCTCGATCGACAGTGCGATTTTGAAAACCGCCCGCCAGTCCAGTTGCTGGGAAGCACAAGCCATCGGACCAGCAGTTGCGCATTGCGAGAACACTCATGCGAAGCGCCTGCCCTTCCCTACGCACACACATGGTCAGCCAACCTGTGCGATCTTGGCGGTGCCGTTCTCCCGGCTCCGCGCCATCCTCCTGTTCCATCCCGTCTTCCTCCTCCTCCTCTTTCCTCCTCCTCCTCCTCTTCCTCCTCCTCCTCCTCCTCCTCCTCCTCCTCCCCTTTCTCCTCCTCCTCCTCCTCATCCTCCTCCTCCTCCTCCTCCGCGTCCTCCTCCTCTTCCTCCTCCTCCTCCTCCTCCTCCTCCTCTTCCTCCGCCTCCTCATTCCTCCCCCCCCGCCCCGCCCCGCCCCGCCCCGCCCCGCCCCTCCCCTCCCCTCCTCCTCCTCCCTCGCTCCAGCCATTCCTTCATCCCTCCTTCCCTCACCCTTTCTCCCTCCCCCCCTCCCTTCCCTGCCCTGCCCTCGCTCCCCCCTTTCCCCGCCCCTCCCCTCCCCTCCGCTCCTCCGCCTCCTCCGCCTCCTCCCCCTTCTCTTCTCATTTTCATGTTTATTGTTGCTAGTATGTGTAGTATTAGTATCGGTGTCTTAATATGAGTATGATTCGTATGCTTATTGTTTTTAATATTAGCATTTGTATGATTAATGTCATGCGTATTAGCCTGATTCATGGTATTAATCGTATTAGTATTGATATTGATTGTGCTCGTATTCTCGGTGGTCGTAGTATTAGGTTCTTCCTCGTACTGTTATCATGCTCTTGGGACCACCCAGCGCACAATTTCTCGCCCAAAACCAACCAACGCCACCCCCACCCATGGAACCTCGGACCCGACCGACGCCCCGCCTTTGCATCCCCACCCCACGGCACCCCCACCCACAGAACCTCTGTTCTTGGGACCCCCCACCGGCCAATTTCTCGCCAAAAACCGATCAACGCCCCCCTCGTGGCCACGGCACCCCCGCCCCTCTCCTGGCCACAACACCCCCGCCCACAGAACCTCCGTTCCTGGGACCTCCCACCGGACAAGTTTTCGCCCAAAACCGACCAACGCCCCCCTCCTGGCCACGGCACCCCCACCCACGGAACCTCTGCTCTTGGGACCACCCACCGCACAATTTCTCGCTCAAAACCAACCAACGCCACCCTCCTGGCCACGGCACCCCCACCCATGGAACCTCGGACCCGACCGACGCCCCGCCTTGGCATCCCCACCCCACGGCACCCCCACCCACAGAACCGCTGTTCTTGAGACCCCCCACCGGCCAATTTCTCGCCCAAAACTGACCAACGCCCCCCTCGTGGCAACGGCACCCCCGCCCCTCTCCTGGCCACGGCACCCCCGCCCACAGAACCTCGGAACCGACCGACGCCCCACTCCTCTCGGCATCCCCTCCCCACGGCACCCCCACCCATGGAACCACTGTCCTTGGGACCCCCCATCGGACAATTTCTCACCCAAAACTGACACCAACGCCCCCGTCCTGGCCACGGCACCCCCACCCACAGAACCCTGGCTCCTGCGACCCCCCACCGCACAATTTCTCGCCCAAAACCAACCGACGCCCAACTCCTGGCTACGGCACTCACACCCACGGAACCTCTGATCTCGGGACCTTCCTCCCGACACTTTCTCGCCCAAGACCGACCAACACTCCCCTCCTGGCCACAGAACCCCCACCCACGGAACCTCTGTTCTTGGGGCCCCCCACCTGACAATGTCTCGCCCACCCCCACCCACGGAACCTCTCTTCTTGGGCCCCCCCACCACCCAAGACCGACCAACGCCCTTATCCTGGCCACGGCCCCCTCCCCACAGAACCCCCACCCAGGGAACCTCGTTTTTTGGGACCCCCCACCGGACAAATTCTCGCCCAAAACCACCCAACGCCCCCCTCCTGGCCACGACACCCCCGCCCACAGAACCTCCGTTCCTGGGACCTCCCACCGGATAATTTCTCACCCAAAACCGACCAACGCCCCCCTCCTGGCCACGGCACCCCCACCCACGGAACCTCTGTTCTTGGGATCCCCCACCAAACAATTTTTCGCCCAAAACCGACCAACGCCCCCCTCCTGGCCGCCGCACTCCCACCCACGGAACCTCTGTTTTTGGGACCCCCCCCCACCAAATCATTTCTCGCCCAGAAACCGACCAACGCTCCCCTCCTGGCCACGTCACCCCCACCCACGGAACCTTTGTTCTTGGGACCGTAACTAGTGACTAGTGTGTTGCTTCCCTCTTCCTCAACCCCTCCTTCCTCTGCTCAGGAAGGGGCACCCCTTTCATTACCCCCTCCCCTTGGCCTTGACGGGGCACCCCGCGAGGTGGCAGAGGTTTCTTTCTGGCCCAATATGGCTCCAAGAGGGCCTCAGAGGGCGCACAAGGGCCTTTACGATGGCCCAAGCTCCTTCCAGATGGCCTAAGACAGACAGCCTCCGACATACATCTGAGATGCCCCCAGGACAGCCCCAAGACGGTTCCAAATGCCCTTCGGGCCGAGCCGCCCAAGGAGGCCCCCAAAAGGCCCAAATCCTTCGACAACCTAATGAGCATCAATGTGTATTACCGTCTTGCCGTTATTTGCCGTTTCGCTTCCGATCTGATCTTGAGGCCCCAAGATCCAAGATGGCCCAAGAGAGCCCTGGGATGGGCCCAAGAGAGCCTCAAGACGACCCCAAGAGCGCCCCAAGAGGGCTCCAATGGGTATTTTGTTCGGCCCCCGAGGGGGGGGACTGAATTTCGTCCCCCCCCCCTCCTTTTGAGCCATGAGGCCCAAGATTGCCCCGAGCCCCAGTAGGGCCCCCAGACCCGCCCAAAGAGCCCCAAGATTGGCCCCAGAATGACCCCAACAGGCCCTGCGGGAACCCCAAGAGACCTCCGAGATCCTCGCACGACAACACATCCGCAAGGACCGCCTCCTCGTCCCCCCTGTCCACGTCCGCTCCTTCCTGCCATTCAACTTGCGGCCAGGCCGCAGACTGCAGACGCAGACCAACGCGGACGCGCGAGCACACATACAAACAGCCCGACGGCCAGACAGACACACAGCGAAGACGACGTGATAATGGCGATGGCGATGATGACGGCAACGATGGCGAGGGTCACTTTTACAGCATCCACGGGAGCTACAACGGTGGCTGAACGAGGGAAACCAGAACACGCGGCAGGAGCGGGCGTGCACGCATGCTGCTTCCCTGAAGGGAAGAGGAGGAGGAGAGGATGGGGCAGAGAGGAGGAGCGAGGAGGGAGAGGAGAAGGAGGGGCTGGATTTTCCCAATCCGTGATCCAGATCCGGATGCACAGATCCCGAACAGGATCCGCGCGTTGATCAGAAAAATAAGCTCAGACCTATGGTCTCAAGGGCGGGGATTGGGATCACGGATTCGGATTACCCCAATCTGGATCCGGATCTGGATCCAGATCCGGCCGGATCCGCAAGCTGATCAAAAGAAATCGGGGATTGGGATCACGGATTCGGATTATCCAAATCTGGCTCCCGATCTGGATCCGGATCCACAACATCTGGGGGACGTTATGCCCAGAGGCCGAAAACGAGGGAAGATTTCCATATTGAGTTTTGCAATACGTTGGAGATCTGGGCCACTCGTAAATTGTAAAGGACTCCTCAAGGAGGCCAAGTAGATGGGGTCGGAAGAGCGCCGCATCGCGGATACATCGGCGATGCGGCGCGGTCCACCGACCCCTACTACTCCGACCCCATCTGGCCCTGAACTTCGGTCTCCAGCGGCCGTTCGGGATGGCCCGGGCACCCCCAGAACGCTCTCTCGGCGAGGCGCAGCTGTTAGAGAACATCATGATACAAGAAACAAATCAAGAGCCAGCGACAACTGCCATGAACTTCCGAGTTTAACTCTTCAATACGTCAATACGTTAGAATGTTAAGAACGAGGATATTGAGAATGAGGAAAAACGAACACGACCGCCACCCCACCACCATGCTGCCGGCAAGGACGCTGGCGAGGCGGCCATCCTCGCTGTACGAGGGAAGAGATCACATACTGGTAGCGCGCAGAGGGAGCATCCACATCCTCCTCCTCCTCCTCCTCCTCCTCCTCCTCCTCCTCCTCCTCCTCCTCCTCCTCCTCCTCCTCCTCCTCCTACTACTCCTTCTTAACTCCCCTTCCTCCTCGTCCTCCCCCGTTCCTTTCTCTCTTCCTACTCGTCCTCCTCCTCCTCCTCCTCCTACCCCTTCTCGTCCTCCCCTTCTGGGAGCTAGCGCTCGAGTCTCACGCACGTCGAAGACAAATCGTACTCCCCCTCCTCGTCCACCTCTCTCCCCCTCATCATCCTTCCCTGTTCCTTCTTCAGGGCGGCTCCGAGAGAGCTCCGAGCTGGCCCAAGAGGACCTCCAGCGAGATCCAACGACGGCCCGAGAGGCCTCTCGACGGCACAGACGGCCCCAAGACGCAGCCCAAGAGGCCGTCCAGACGGCCCAAGAGAGCGCCAAGACGGCCCAAGAGGACCCACTATACAGCCAGAAAGAGCCCCCAAGAGGTCACAGCTAACGGGCGAAGATCGGTATAAAATAACCTGTTTCGCTGTCGGGGGCGCCTGTCCCAGGGCGGCTGGCAAGCTTATACCCTTTTCGTCAAAGTATTAACTTGACAGCCGCCCCGGGACAGGCGCCCCCGGTGACGGAAGACATTTCATTTACCGTTATTCGCCCGCTAACACAGGACTGCCCCACACCGACGGGGGCACCCTGGGCCCAATCGAAGATGCGACTGGTCACACCAAAGAACACGCTGCAGCTGTATGCGTCTGCTGACGGTTCGCCGACGGTCAGAACGTGATGGACTTCTTGCAGTTCGCGCTCGCCGTGCTCGCAACCGTGTGGTCGTCCTCCCCGAGGAGGCCGCCAATCTGGAATTTGGAACTGTTCAGGCCCCTCACGAACACGTTCAAGTACCTTGTTCCAAGCATGGTATGGCCGTGTACAACCTTTATGCTGACCTGGCTGAACCTGTGCCATCTCGGGCGGCGAGACGCGGCGTCCTCGGCAACCCACGTCCGATCTGCCGGTCGGAGATGTCGGGCCCACGTGCCTGTAACATTGATCTCCGTGAAATATAGGTCGGTGCACTTGGCCCCCAAGCGACTCGCTCTCGCCCGCACGAGAAGCGCATTCCTCTTTTGCAGCGACTTCGGGATACGGATGAGCGAATGTACCCCAGGTTGGTAGAGATCAAACCTCTGTCCGTGCACGTTGACCAGGTGAGGGTCGCCCGTGCCGGAGACTGAGGTCGCCGGGCTGGCTGGCGGGCTGGGCGGCGGGAGGGACGTGGGACTGGGCGTGGGGCTGGGCGTCGGACTGGACGTGGGGCTAAGCGTGGGGCCAGGCGTGGGGCTGGACGTGGGGCTGGGCGTCGGGTTGGGCGTGGGGCTGGCCGTCGGGTTGGGCGTGGGGCTGGCCGTCGGGCTGGGCGTGGGGCTGGGCGTCGGGGGCGATGGTTCCTCCTCGAACGTCATAGTCCAGAGGACCATGTGTGCATAGTAAGCAGAAGTCGAACTGACGGCCACGACACGCAGCTCTACATTTGATGGGCTCCAAGGCACTGAGGCCTGACACTGCGATGTCGAGCAACTATGACTATTGAAAATTGTCGCGACGACGCCACCGTCCACCAAAATATCCATTCTGTCGGTGCTGCTGCCTTGAGTGTCGGCTCCGTATGCGACTATGAGTGTCCCCGGGGAACCATCCATGCAGCTAGGGAGAGTCGCTTTCCATTCGGTGGACTTGCAATTACCACTGCGCAAGTATGAGAAACTCGAAATTGAGTTGCAGCCCGACACAGTTGAGAACCAATCAGGCGTTGTTGGAATTGTGCATGCCGTTGAGTCTTCTGCAGCCCGTAGCGCTGCCGCCTCTGAGCCGCCCAGCCCGTGCACAGACATCTGCATGAACTGCACGTCGGTGCCCACAACAATGAAACGAGAGCAGATGCCGTCGCAAAGATCATAATGCGTGACATCGTTGAGTCGATGATCGGAAAGAAGTGTAGCAATAGATGTTCAGTACAGATCCACTCGGGAACACGAAGCGCTCACCTTGGATCAAATAGCTACGGGCCAAACGCAAATCCAAGATGACCCCAGATGGCTCACTGCAAAACTGCAAGGCCCTCGCGAATCACACACATCCAATGCGCCTTGGATTCGTCCCAGAGACGTCCATGAGTCCCGCATAGCCCCCCTGCCAATTCATGCTTGGACAATGCCTTCATAAAATGAACACTGCGTTCCGCGTGCACGTTAATGACCCGTCGCGGCACTTCCCAGCATTGCAGCACGCTAGCGATGATACAAAACAGACTGGCGGAGTGTGCAAAACGATGGAGGACCAAACGGGTATGATGCCGGGTATGATGCCTTGTACATGTTGGTATGGGTTGTAATGTTAGATGTTCTTGCGAACCCCTTGCGAAACATACGGGCCCCATGCTCGTCCACGCTGACGAAACAGACAAAATCATCAAAGCACTGTTGGGTATTACATTTCTGGACCGAGCCCTTCGGAATCACATGAATCTAAACTTGCCACTCAATCACTGCCTACGCAGGACGAGCGATCCTCCTCTCGTGGTGCCAGCGACGACAGACGGTTGGCGAGACAGCGCCAGCGCAGCGAAACGCACGGCATCTGGACAAGGTGCTTGCACCAGCCAGGGGGGGAGGAGATAGATAGATAGATAGATAGATAGATAGATAGATCGATAGATAGATATATAGATAGATATATAGATAGATAGATATAGATAGATAGCTAGCTAGCTAGCTAGCTAGCTAGCTAGATAGATAGATAGATAGATAGATAGATAGATGTGTATGTCTTCATGCTGGGTGCGACCCGTGCGCGGTGAGGGTTGATGGGGTTACTCCGTACCTTGCTTCCCTCCTCCTCCTCCTCCTCCTCCTCCTCCTCCTCCTCCTCCTCCTCCTCCTCCTCCTCCTCCTGGGGTCCTTGAGACAACGCGCGACCCGTTCGTGGCAGTTCGTAACCTCGGCTGGCCTGGGTGCCGCGAAGGCGACCTCTCTCGGTCCCCCGGTGGCCTCTGAGACGGCCCAAGAGGGCCTTGATAAGACTGCCGGAGGCGCCTCCAGGACGGCCAAGATGGCCACAAGAGGGCCCAATATGCCAGCAAGACATCCCAAGCTGACTTGTAGATGGCCCGAGATGACCTCCAGACAGCTCAAGGGGTCCCCTTGAGGACCCGATGGGGCCCCAAAAGGACCTCAATCAAAGATACCAAGATTACTGATCCGTCATTCGTTTCGATGGTAACCGCGTTCTCGTCTTTGGGACTCCCGAAGCTCATGCCAGCGCACAAGGCGACCGTTGGGGCGGGCAGAGGCGGAGACGAGGCAAAAATCCGGCCAGCCAATCCTCCAGGCCAAGGGCTCAGAGAACAAGGCAGACCCTCAAAAGGCAAGCACTCTTCATGGGGAACGAAGAGCGAGAGGAAGAGGAGCGGGACGAGAAGAGGAAAGATGCGGACGATGAGGGCGGAGGGGGACGGAGAAAGAAAAGGTCGATGAGGGTGGGGAGAGCAGGACGAAGGACGGAGCAGGAGAAGGGGGTGTCACCATGACGGTTGTGTTCAATCTGGCAACTCGTTGCACGACTGTTTGTCCCTTTTTCCCCTAGCACGGGTTCGAACTTTTCCACCCCTGCGAGCGGGCGAAAGAGGATGGCTAATTAGCAGACTCTCCCTCGGAGCCGAGAAGGATGTGGAGGAAACGTCCTTTTGCTCCTCCTCCTCCTCCTCCTCCTCCTCCTCCTCCACCTCCTCCTCCTCCTCCTCCTCCTCCTCCTTATCGTGTCCCCCTCCTTTTCATCCTCTCTCCCCCTGCCGCCACTCTCCAGTCCCCTCTTCCTCCCGTTCCCATCCTCCTCCTTCCTCTCCTCTTCCGCCTCGTCCCCCACTCGTCCTCTAGAGGAGCCAAAAAGGAATCCATATATGTCGGACAGCGTGGACACAATGGGCCCCAAGCATGTGATTCGAACAATGGATTTTGTGCATTCGACGTGGTGCAATCAATGTCGTGTAAATCCGCCGACCCCAGAGGCGTGTGAGACTCAACGGTTCGCCTTTGGACGACTTCCAACACGACTCTTCGTCTTTTTTGTGATGTTCTGGCCTGGACCGCCCCGGCACCCCCGCTCCCTGGTCCACTGATTCTTGGGACCCCCCGACCGACAATTTCCGGCCTGAACCTACCGATGCCCCCCAACATGCCTCGGCACCCCCGCTGACTGGTCCACTGGTTCTTAGGACCCCCCGCCCGACAATTTCTCGCCTGAAACCTACCGGTGCCCCCCACCGCGCCCAGGCACCCCCGCTCCCTGGTCCACTGATTCTTGGGACCCCCCACCCGACAATTTCTGGCCTGGAACCTACCCATACCCCCCACCGCGCACCAGCACCCCCAGGCCTCTGGGACCCTGTTCTTGGAACCCTCCACCCGGAAATTTCTGGCCTGAAACCTACCGACAACCTATATACGTGCACACGTGGAATGGAGTTATAACTGGATTATGTTGGCGACAATGCAACTCTCCTATAATCTCATACCCCTACGCATCTACTTAGTAACCCATGTGAAGGTTAGCAACCCTTACGATTGAGTTGCATATGTTATGATGACGGTGCTACTATGTTATAAGAGGGTTGGCCAGAGTTGCAACGAGCTTGCAACGCGTCGAACAACAGAGAATTTCTGGCCTGAAACTTACCGATGCCCACCACGGCGCCGCGGCACACCCAGGCCTCTGGACCCCTGTTCTTGGGATCCCCACACGACAATTTCTGGCCCGAAACCTTCCGACGCCCCCAACCGCGGACACCCCGCCCGACAATTTCCGGCCTGACATCGACCGAAACCTTCCACCGCGCCCTGGCACCCCCAGGCCTCTGGAACTGTGTGGTTAAAACCCCCCACCCGAAAATTTCTGGCCTGAAATCGCCGATACCCCCCACCGCGCCCCGGCACCCGCAGGCCTCACCCGACAATTTCTAACTTGAAACCTGCCGATTCCCCCCACCGCGCCCTGGCACCCCCACGCCTCGGGAACTTTGTTCTTGGGACCCCCCACCCGACAATTTCTCGCCCGAAACCTGCCGGTGCCCCCACCGCGCCCTGGCACCCCGAGGCCTCTGGAGAGCGTTTCTTTATGTTCGGCGATGACGGGCGTCATGAGGGGCGGTGCGGGGGGGTATGACGTAACGCCCCCCCCCCGCCGTGTGGTTCCGGCACCAAAGCCCCGCCCGCGCGCACGGCGCGACGAGCGACGAGCGACGAGCGACGACGAGGACGACGAGGACGACGACGACGACGACGACGACGACGACGACGACGACGACGACGAGAGCGACGACGACGACGACGACGACGACGACGACGACGAGGACGACGCGGGCAACATGTAGATGGCGATATGCCCCACTGCGCCTGTGTACGCATCGCTCGCGTGCACCACAACGCGCGCGCGAACACCGCAACACCTGCGTACACTCAAGAACCGTGTGCAACGCAGCGCCTGTGTACACCACAGTGCTTGCATACTACAGCGCCGGTGTACATGTGCACACCGCAGCAACCATGTGCAACAGAGCGCCTGTGTACACCACAATGCTTGAGTGCACCGCAGCGCCTGTGCACGCCACAGCGCCTGTCCACACCACAGAGAGAGCGTGATTCACCGCCGCTTTACTGTGGAAAATTCCCCCCCTCTTACTCCGGAACCAGGGGATCCCCCCCACCCGAAAATCCCCCGCCCTCTGCTGGAACCCGCCCCCCTCCCTCCTGGCAAAACCCCCTCCCTTCCCCTAACCCCCCTCCCCGCCTCTCCGGAAAACCGGGGGGGGTCACTATACCGGTTCGACCCCCCCCCCTCCGGAAAACAGGGGGGGGTCACTACCGGTTCGAAACCTCCCCCCCCCTCTCGAAAACCAGGGGAAGGTCACCACCGATTCGAACCCTCCTCCTCTCCCCCCTTTCTCTCGAAAACCGGGGGAGGGGGTCACTACCGGTTCGAACCCCCCCCTCCCCTTCCCGAAAACCAGGGGGAGTCACTGCCGGTTCGAAGCCCCCATCCCCCTTCCCTTCCCCAAAACCGAGGGCGGTCACTACCGGTTCGAACCCCCCCCCTCGAAAAACGGGGGGGGGTCACTACTGGTTCGGACCCCTCCCCCCCCCCTCCCCTAGAAAACCGGGGGGAGTCACTACCGGTTCGAACCCCTCCCCCTCGAAAACTGGGGGGGGGGTCACTACTGGTTCGGACCCCTCCCCCCCCCTCCCTCCCCTAGAAAACTGGGGGGGGTCACTACCGGTTCGAACCCCTCCCCCTCCCCCCCCCCACACGCTCACCGCCAGCATACGACTCCTGGGTCCCTACTACCGTCCGCACCACATCCCCCAGTGTTGTCCCCAGCACCACTGTCCACACCACCACCAGTCCCCACTGTTCCAACCACCGCCACCACTGTCCCCACCAGTGCCCCCACCAGTGTCGCACTGTCCCCTCGGTAGTGACCACCACTTGTTTTCGGGGGGGGGGGGGGGCGGCGCGAGCCGGGAGTGACCCCCCCCTTTTCATGATGGACTGGGGGGGGGCTCGAACCGGTAGTGACCCCCCCCCCGGTTTGCGAGGGGGGGGGACGAGTTAGGAACCCCCAGTGACCCCCCCCCCGTTTTCCGCCAGCAGCGGTAGAACACGCTCTTTCACACCACAACATCCACGTGCAACGCAGCGCGACCGTACACCACAGTGCCTGCGTGCAGGACAGTGCTGATAATCGAATGCAACGCTCTTCCCTCTTCCCTCTTCCTCCACCTCCACCTCCACCTCCACCTCCACCTCCTCCTCTTCCTCTTCCTCCTCCTCCTCCTGCTCCTGCTCC